TAGGGGGCCCATTTAATAGTTTTCAAAAACACATAAATGCAAAACAATAACATAAGAGAGGAGCATTGGGTAAATTTTTATTTCACTTCCGCACACAGATGCACTGTTTCAGGGGTCAAACTGAGTGACGGCAGTGTGTACAGTCCATGCCGGCTTTAAGCACGGTCATCGGGAGAAAGCTTCAACGTGCTTAATGCCGAAGCGTGCTTGAGTGCATAATCTAGTAGACATAAAAATCCAGAGATTTTCATGTAGAAAATTTCCCGTGCTTTTTCCCTTTGTAAGTTGGCCTCTATAGGTCTCGCAAAAATGTGCACCGTTATTTTTACTCAGCATGGTAGTTTTTGTTTGTTTTTGTTTTGTGGTCGAATGAGAAATGAAAACTTAAATTCTTTCATTACAAGAGTCCTCAACTTAGCGAAGCTGATCACAACTTTCGCTTCCACCTGGTTCATGGTGGAAAATCTGCCTGAGAAGCAGCAACACTCAACACGGCTAAAATGTAGTTCTTGTATTGTTCTCAACTTAAAGATTTTAGCACACTTGAAATGTCAGGGATAGGCAAAGAATAGGACCATATCGAGTGACCAGCCCTGTTCAAGAGAGGAAGGTTTTGCTGTCGCATCTGCAAAATCGTTTCGTTCCTCAAAGTAACATTTCAAGGCATGCATGGAGTGCGTGAAAATGTTTCTTAGTAAGTTCAGGACTTTTATAAAGCCAGTCAAGAACGCCTTATTTAGGACTGCAATTAATGAAGCCCCGACAACAGCACCGTCTTCACTGTGTGAAATAGCACAAAGAAAAAATCTGAATCTCTTGCATACACACTCATTCCATTACACTTCCCATTTAACAAACAACACAGTTTCTGGAAGATCATAACAAGAATGTCATGGACTGGCCAGTGTAAGTTCCCGTCATGTCTCCAACAACGCATGTATGGGATGAACTGAACCGCAAAGTGTGTACCATTTTGCGAATCTGCAGCTATTGGGAGATCGTGCTGTTCTAAAAGTTCGGCAGAATTTCTCAACAAAACATTGAAATGTTATTATAAAATCTGTGTGTGAAGAAGTGTTTTGGTCTGTATAAATGTGAGGCATGCTGACAAAATGAGTTGCTCCTCGGATTTTAGCCTTATTTATGGAAATTAATGTATCAACTTTATGGGTGGAGTTGGTCCAATTTGTAAGTATGAAATAATTAAAGATACGGCAGACTTGAAAAAAATGGCATACATTCAAATTCTACAGTGGAATATCGTTATAACGAGAGGGAGGGGACCGGAGAAAAATGTCCGTTATAGCAGGATTCTCGCTATAAGGGATCCAGCAATTGATTCAAGGGAAACTATAAAGTAGGCCTAATATCTCTATGAGTTTGGTGTTCTGTTTATTTCCTTTTTCTATTTCCCCTGATGATGATTTTGTTTCAAATGACCTCAAGGTCTTACTTGATCAAAAATCGAATCAGGTTTCTTTCTCTAGCGCTAGGGCTAGATGTAGCGATGTTGACTGACAGCTCGGCGTTTGCGATCAGAAAGAAAGGGCTCTGGGCTAACTCGCCCGCTGTGTTTCCCCCCACCCCACCACACCCTGTGGTGCATTCCGTCAGCTTGAGCACGTCACACTTTCGCTCCATCCATCACATTGCTGTAACCTCTCCATCTCCGCATTGGAAAAGTGAGAGGCATGGTAGGCCTTGATATTCATTGATAATCTGAACTAGGCTTACGCTAGCCTATCACGCGATGTGTTCTGCTTGTCTGCGCATGCCACAACCTCCCTACTCAGTCGCTCCAGCCTTCATTGTTGACACACATGGGCTCTCCCATTCTTTGTTTCACTAGATCACCAACAAGTTTCTCAACTGGCGAGGTTTTACATTTATGTATAATTGGCCTATACGCTGTGCACAGCAGCAGGAATATTCCGCTATAACCGACCCGCGTGTTTGTCTGACTGCACTATACATAGCTGCCACTTTCCCGCTAAATAGCGGAAACTCCGCTTCATCTAGCTTCTCCCGCTACTTTCCTCCTTCCTCCGCTGGACCGCTCTCGGTCGCAAATTGCGATACTTTTTTACACACGGAAAACACCGAACCGGGAGAGAGACGAAAAGGCAGCTTGCGCATGTCCGCCCGTAGCTTTCTACTAGTGTTGGGCGTTAATCAATATTAGCTAGTATCGGGTAGTATCGGGTACCCGCGTCCCCAGTATCGATCGATACTCGATATCGATACTGTGACGTCACAAAAGGCTAAAAAATAGCGCTCACCGTATTGTTTCCTTGAAGCGCTTTAATAGATGAAAGGTCACAGTGTCAGTCATTCGGCTTACCAGGCCCTACTGCCTGTGCACCCAGTTGTAAGATGCGATCTTTTTTTTGTTATTATTATTTTTTTAATTGTTTGTTTTTTGTTGTTTTTATTAATGCAAATCATTTTGACTACCTTGTCGTCGAAAAGTGTCTTCTTGAAGTGTGAAGGCGCGTAGGGCTCTGAACGGGTCCAATCTGATAGCGTCATCTGCTTTGCAGGTCCTGCACTGCAACTGCCGCTGCTGCTACCGCCCTTCTCCTTGTCAAGTGCAGCATTTTTGCTTGGATGTTTGGCATGGAGATGTTTCATGAGATTTGTGCTGTTCCCATGATGCTTTAATATGTCGTGACAAACAAGGCACCTGGCCTCTTTGTTTCCTGGAAGCTCTTTAAAATGTGTCCAAACAGTGCTCTTCTTCTTTCTCAACATGACTAAGCCTATTTAGAAACAAAAGACGGGTGATCGTAGACAGCACGTTTCTCTATGATATCACGCAGATTAGGCGGCAAACACTACACTCATTACATTGATCAGTATCGACTAAGGGACTCTGCGATATCGAGTATCAACTAAGAAAACCAGTATCGATGAGTACCCGATATCGATATCGACTAAAGCCAAAGAGTCTACATAACAAGAGGGGCCACTTCTCTCTTTGAGCCAATTAAAAAAGTGTCCTCAAAATTCGGTGGCGCCCTCTTCGCAAAAGCGCACCTTTAGCGAACGGAGTTATCCTACTTGAGTTTAAAAAATTAAAGTGAAACTAGCAAGTTTTTGAATGAATTTCGGAAGAACGCTTTTTAAAAATGGTTAAGCTGACAGAAAACCTCTTCCGGAGGAAAGGGTGATTGTTTTCTTCGTTTAATTTGACTTTAGAATGAAAGGCGAGAGGTCATTAAAAATTTTTAAAAAACTAAAACTCCGTACTGAACGAACCCGAACTGCTGATGAACAGCAGTCGATTTGCGCACGCAAGGAGGTGCTATTCCTATTCTTCTTCTGGAAAAACGAAAGAGAGCTTCAAAACAGACTGCAGCGCCATCTGAAGCAAAGAACATACTTCCTGCGGACACTTTTTTGGCTGAGTGGCCCATCTTGTTATTTATTATCTTTGCTAAAGCCCAACACTACTTTCTACTTCCGTTCTTCTAGGCCTAGCGTTAGTTTCACTTTGTTTATTGTGGAGCAACAAAGTGTCGATCTGGCATCGGAACGTTAGCGCGCCGAGTTGTCATTGGAAACAGCAGAAATTCGAGAGAAATTGATGCAGAATGCAAAAATAAAAGGAGCTCCGCTTGCTGCACTTTGCGTTTGGTGCGATAAAGAAATCGCGGCCCGCTGCACTCCTGTACAATTGCGGTCCCGTTTGTTTACATGAATCTATGAAGGCTATTGTGGCTGTTGAAGTGGATCTAGATCTAGATCTAGATAATCTATCTCTAGATATAATCTAGATTTACACATATTTAGATATCTACATTCTAGATCTAGATTAGATAGCCTAGGCTATAATTTTAATTCAGGTTAGATCTACACTCTACAAAGGGACTACTAAGTTAAGTGCAAACGGGACCGCAATTGTACAGGAGTGCTCAGTACAGCGGCAAAGGTGTTGCCTCCTTGATCCAATACTGCGCGCGCTCTACATCGATGTACAAGTTTATTAAAGTGAAAGAAATCTTTTTATAAGACACCAGCTTGCAACAAACACTGGATTTTTAGTCACCAAGTCCAAACTGTGTCAAATTGACTCAAATGCTTGGTAGTCTACTTAGTGATAGTGCCTTTGTTGTTTTTTGGTTTGTTTTTTGTTGTTGTTGTTTTTTTCAAATACATTTTAATTCAGTTGCCTATGGTTAATAAATATGACAGTTTTCCCTTCGAAAACCATAGGCTAGATTTTTCCAGTATATATTGCCTCTGGATCTCACTGGTTTTACTCCGGCCTTCGGAGAGCGCGTGTCCACCTTCGCATGAATTTCCTTCTTTTTTGAAATTCCTGAGTGGCAGCTATGACTATAACAGTAGTTTATTTACAAAGATAAAGAAGAGAAAAAAACGGGGTTTTAGAATAGTGTCTTTATAACAGACTTCTCGTTTTTTACGGACTCGTTATAAGTGGACTCCACTGTATAAATCTGACCCCAGTGTTGATTTTCAGCCAATATCTCCATTCTTGGTTTCCGAGAAGTAGCTCATTTGGTCAGCATGCCTTACAAATGTTAATGATGGCCATACAATACTAAGGATGAGAGATCTTTATTGTTTCAATTTGTGTTTATCTGCAATTTTATCTTTAGGGGATACTCTGTCAGAAGAAAGACAATGTATTGAAATCAGTTTGTGTGTGTGATCAAAATGGTTCACATTTTTTAAAAATTGAATAAACTATAGAACTCTAAAAAACACTTCTTTAAATCTATATATTCATTTGATATAAACTTGTTCAGACTCTGCGAACGAAGTGTTGCGTTTTTAATGACGTTCAGTATGTATCTGTCCCCGTAGGATTATGCGATTGTGCGGTCCCGCGTTTTTTCGCGTAATTCTGCAACATTTGCATAATTCTGGATTATCCGCGTTTTTTCACCTTTTTTTCCTTTTTTTCCACAAAACAATTAATAAACGCCTCGCCATGTGACTAAAGGGATGTGATCACGGTAATAAGTCTCATTTAAGTGACAAGTTGGTTATTTCCCTTATTAGAAGATCTTGGTTATGGGTTGTGATTTTGTTCCTTGAGCATGTTCAATTTTTCAATCCCTCAAAAGTTGTTGTTCTCATGTCTGCTGATGTTTCATGTTTGACAGGTGTCGCTGGTTTTAGTAAAGTGCCAGCATCAGAGGTCCAGATGTCGGGGTTTTTTTGGAGTTTTTTTAAAAACATTTTTCTTTGCTCTATAGATCTAGAATCTAAATCTACAGCTGAAAGTTACAGAGATGATTATTTTTGGTTGGTTTTTACTGTTGTTGTTGTTACTGATGTGTATTGTTTTCTTTTCCAAATACACAACAAATTACTGATACTGATATGTTCTGTTTTCAATTTTTCTGTATATAAAACATGAAAATCATGAAACTTCGTGTTGAAAAAGTGCAAAACATGTCGCGAATGGTGTTACGGTAACTTGCATAATTTTTGCATGATTTAGCTTTTTTTTTGCATAACTTGGCCTTCTAAATTTGCATAATTCTACGGGGACAGGTGTATATATATTAGTGTTGATACTTTCTCTTGAACAATATAGCAAATCCAATTCTTCTGTCTTCTGCAGTTCATGAAAGTATCAGGCGAATAGAGGTCTGACCAGTCCATCGTCATGGCGAGGAATCAAGAGACAGCTCAGAGCTACTTCCAGAGCTACTGCGACCTGAGTGTGCACCAGCTGATGCTCAAGGACAGGCCGAGGACGCTGGCGTACAGGAAGTTCCTGGAGACAAACCGTGATGTCATCAAAGACAAGGTGGTAATGGATGTCGGGGCTGGCACGGGGATTCTTTCCCTTTTTGCTGCCGCTGGTAAGTCACTGGCTCGCTCTTTGATAGTATTAGCAATGCAAACATACATACACACTCACACCACACTAAACACACACACAAGCAAAAGTGCATTCTTGCATTCACATAGCAAACACATCTTCGTCAGGTACAAATTTTTTACTTTTTCCTTTTTATTAAAAAAAACTCCTGCAGCATAAACAAATAATACACAATGAAAAAATATTGAAATTTGAAGTATAAAGTAGTCCTGCTGAGAGAGAGGAAGGGAGAGAGTTCAGAGTGGATGCGATCCAGTATGAGGGTAGGTCAATGACCTCTTTATAAGCGAAGGGCTAAGGTGTGCACCAAGGATGCATTATATTTATTGCATATGTCACAGACGTTTTCGCAGCCTGCACACTTCAGTTGCTCGCAAGGAGTATGTGGCCACGCTAAGGCGTGTATCCAGTATTGTTGACGTGTGTGTCTGTGCATCCCCTCTTCCCCCTGAGCAACAGTTGACCAGCGCTTTGCAAAGTTAGATCTGGGTGAATTTGTAGTAGACCATTGCGGAGCGAAGGCAGCCAAAAATCAAGAAAAAACAGCTGATCCTAGCATTGTTGTGAAAAAAAAATCTATATCAAAAACAAAAATCTGCCAAATGTTTGGGATTTCAAACCTAAACGGGAAAAATAGTGCTGAACTAGAGAGGAAAAGGCATTTTTATAAACCAGTCAAGTAAAACCCCACTACATCAAGATCTCAGAGACAGAACTCAATGTGCATGTTGACATGGCATAGAGGGCATAATTCATGTAAGACTTTGACCCAACCGTCCAACTTGGTTTATATCCCTTTATAAAGCCTGAAATTCACAAAAAGATTCTGGTGTCCTGCAGACTTTGCTGCGTGCTTGCTGAATTATAGACAAGTGTTGGTGTATATTGGCATCGGTAGTCTAAATTTAAAATGTTTTTGTTTCGTATCCTGGCTGCTTTATGTCTGATTTTATGCACCTTTTTTATGAGACCATACATACTTCATTATTCTGTTGCTGTTAGTCACATTGACCGTGGAGTGTATTCGTTTGGGAATACAGTTGCTCTGTATTTCAGATGCGAAACTCATATAAACTTGTGAATCATCATCACTGTATAAAAGACAGGATAAAATTGAGTGGGGAATGAAAGGTAAGCCTACTTACTTTGCCCTGATATTCTCAGCTCACCCTTCTTTTGAAATGGGTGTTTGGTCGATATCAAGACTGAAAGCTTGGGAGCAGGCTGTGATTTAGTATAATTATTCGGGGGGGGGGGGGGGGGTAACCATATATATATAGCTCTTTTTTTCTTCTAGTTTAATATTGATTGGTACAGTAAGTTATTTGTTAATTTGCATAAATATTTGAGTGACTTTTGATTTTGATGGACTTTTTAACATTTTTCTTTCAGCCGGAGCGAAGAAAGTCTATGCCGTTGAGGCCAGCGATGTTGCCTTGATCTGTGAGGAAGTCGTGAAAGACAATGACCTTGAGAGTGTTGTTGAAGTTATTCACGGAGCTGTAGAAGACATTAGCTTGCCGGACGGCGTCAAAATTGACGTGATCATCTCCGAGTGGATGGGCTTCTATCTGCTGCACGAGTCGATGCTGGACTCTGTGATCTGCGCCCGGGACAAGTTCCTGTCGCCAGACGGCATCATGGCCCCCTCAAGTGCCACGCTTTACATGGCCCCTGTAGACATGACCGAACACTTCCAGGAGCGGACGGAGGAGTGGAGCAACGTGTATGGCTTCGACTTCTCGCCCGTGGCATCGGCAATGAACATGAAGGAAGTGTCGGAGCCGTTGATAAAGACGCTGCCGGGCAGCATCGTCCGGGCCGAACCTCAGGAAGTTGTCAGCTTTGATCTGAAGACTGTCACACTGGAGGAAGTGAGGCGTGTCTCCAAGTGTTTGAAGTTCACAATCAACCAAGAGTCGATGGTTCACGGTTTTGCAGCCTGGTTTTCAGTTTTCTTTAGTTCGGAGAATGTTTCCATCAGTGGGTCCAATTCCCGTTCACCACAAAAGTCTGTGAACGATAGTGGTGAATGCTCGAGGGGAGGTTGTGTGGGAGGAGAGGGCGACGCAATGAACGAGAAAGGCGATGCCGGTGCTAGATTAAAAACAGCTGGTTCTGAAGACGCTCAAAGCAAACGTAGTCAGCCGTCTGTCTCAGGTGGCCAATGTCCGGCAATAATTCTTGGTACCGGGCCAAACGACCCCCCCACCCACTGGAAGCAGACGGTCATCTTTCTCCCTCAGACTTGTCGAGTAGAACGGAATATTGATATGTTCTGTGTCATCAAAATGGTGCAAGATTTAGCCAACAAGAGACACTATAAAATCACCCTCGAACTGACAGATCAGGATGTCTTAGATGATGGCATGAATGACGATGACGATGATTGCGATTCCCTCGATGAGGACATAAGTGGTGAGGAGTCTGATGCATCAACTGACCACCCCGTGCCTTGCCAGTGTGGCTCTGACCGCTGCCGTCTGATCGCGGCCCTGGTGGAGCGATACGACGAAGAGCATGACCAGCTGGAGGACGAGGCTCAGATGGTGGAGCTGGAGGCAGAGGTCAGTTGTCTGCCAATGTACTGGGATGTTTTGGTTTTCTTTGTTAGTGTTTTATTACCTTAGCAACTGCATAAGATCATATGAGCAGGCAGAACACAGTTTGGTAGGAATTCATTTTGAATTTTGCCCGAGTGGTGGCCGAAGCCTACTCTTATCAATTTAAGGACCACCAAGGGATCTTAAACTGCGCAGCTTGCGCACAGGACCTCCGAGATTTTTTACCCTTCTCCATAAAGGCTTCTCTACCCTAAGATCAGGGGTGTGGCTGAATGAACAGTAAGAAGCCAAGGAATAGCAGTAAGAAGCCAAGGAATAGCAGTAGAAAGGCTGCAGAAAGAATCAGGGGCCAAAGGAGGGAGCAAAGTGGGTTTGGGGTGGAGGCAGAAAGTGGAGACAAAAGGTTTCTACAGAATTCACTTTGAGTGAAATCCATGCCCATAATTTTCAGATCAGGAGGGCACAAAGAAAGACGATACATGTAGGTATTGGGATCAAAGTAATTTTCCCCTTTTATTTTTATTGAGTATGACTGAGAATTTTTTTCATTGAAAGGGTAGTTATGTAATATGTATGTATTGGGTTCAAAGTAGTTCTTCTTTTCTCGTATTGAGTATAGTTGAGAATTCTTTTCAATGAAAGTGGAGTTATATGTATTTTGGGGGGTATACTGGCATCTGTGATGTAGTAGTTTGGTGCTTCCCTGCTGCATGCAGGAGACCCAAGTTCAATTTCTGAGTTGGGAGAAATTCTTATTGAATGTCTTGGTCTTTCTACTTGGGTGTTGTATATATTTCTGTCTCTTGTCTAAGCCCATGTTGGCCCTGTGACGGGTATGATTGAAAGCCCACCTTCTAGAAAATAAATTATCAGAATTGAGTCGACGAGGGCATAGCTATAAGAACACCTCTGTTTAGTAGGTTTTAATAACATAGATCTGGGGGCTCTCGTGGCCTAGAGGTTAAGGTGTTGGCCTCTCATTCAAAGGTCCCGGGTTCGAATTCGGGTAGCGACCGAAAAATTTTCTTCTCTAAAATTGTCTCCTTTCACCTTCTTTCCTGCTCTCTAGCAATGTTCTGTTGTCTGCTTTCATTTCCACTTTCTGCCCCCACCCCTTCACCTCCTTTGCCTCCTCGTCTGGGCTCCTGACTCTTTCTGCAGCCTATCTACTGCTACTCCTTGGCTCCTTCTTACTGCTGTCTTTCTGCCACACCCCTGATCTTCTGGTAGGAAAGATCTACACCTAGCCTTCTCGGACAAGGGCGAAAAATCTCGGAGGGCCCGTGTGCAAGTTGCGCACGTTAAAGATCCCTTGGTGGTCTAAAATCGATAAGAGTAGGCTTCGGCCGCCACCCGGGCAAAATTCAAAATTTCCTACCAACTGAAAATATTTAATGTATCCCGCGTGCTCATATGACCTATGCAGTTGCGAGCGCCGTAAAACACTTTACAAAAACAAAAACATGACATAGATCTATGTTTGGAAGTGCTTCAAGCAGAGTCAGAGCTGCTCTAATGATCCATCTTTTCCTCCTAGCTTTAAAAAAAAAGATTGTAATTATACTGACAATGTACAAGTTCAAGATGTCCACCCGTTTTCTAAGGCAATCATTTTTCTCCTCAGCAGTGGATGACTGCCGGGGACAATTTTGATTTTCTGTGTTACTGGTTAATCTTTTCCTCTTTTTTTTTTCAACATTGGCTCGTGATGTTCTCACTTCTGGCGTTGATAGTGTAGTGGTAAGGCTTCTAGACTCGTAAGACAAGACTCAGCTCGGTTCGACGTTATGTTCATGTGAAAGGCATTTTACACTAATTTCTCATTTGGCTCAGTCCTTTCAGTGGACGTTAAACTTGGAGGTCCGGCCTCTTAAATAACCTAATGCTAATAGTGTTGATAAGACAGTGGAACCCACAAGGAGCACGAGGCAGGGGTAGGCCACGGGAAACATGGAGGAGATGCGTGGAAAGGGACATAAGAGAAATGAAGCTCACTTGGTACGAGCTTGGAAGGATGGCTCAGGACAGAGATAAATGGAAGGAGCTTGTATGTGGCCTATACCCTGCCAGGGGTGAAAGGCATTGATGATGATGATAATAGTGTTGATAGGGGTGTTAAACCTGTACCATTTCAGTTTTCACCATTTTGTTCTCAATCCTTGGTTTTCTCGTCTTCAGGTGGAAGCCGCCAAACAGCTTGACGCGGAGATAGAGAGTGGAGGTTGGCAGGTGGACGGGAACGCATCGGGTGTGTCGACAGACGGGGGTGATACGTCACTCAAAGATGAAATATGATGAATGGATGGATTTGTTGTTGTTGTGGCTGTCAAATTGTTGCCAAAAATGTTTGTTTGAGCTTCTTGCGCGTGATGGTATTTCTGAGAAGAAGACTCTGTGTCATTTTCTCTGAATATTGATGAATAAATGATTTACACTTACACCTTCTTGAAGTAATCTTGTTTGTTTGGATCATTATAATACATTTTTGTTTGGTTGGTTGGCGGGTGCTCTGGTGTAGTTTTCTCCTTTTTTCCTATCAAACATCTATCTTCCTCATCTCTCTTTCTTTTGTGTGTTTGTTACTGTCTTGTAACATTAACACCTCTAACATTTGGCACTTATATGACCTAATTGTGTTTCAATTGCCATAAATGTTTACTAAAACAAACTACAAAAAATTATTTTTAAAAAAAAAAAAATAATAAGTGTTTTACGGCGCTCACAACTAATTATGATAAGATCATATGAGCGCATAGAACACATTAATCTTTTTCTGTTGGCAGGAAATTTTGAATTTTGCCCAGAGGGCGGCCAAAGCCTACTCTTTTATCGATTTTAGACCACCAAGGGATCTTTAACGTGCGCAACTTGCACATGTGCCCTCCCAAGATTTTTCACCCTTGTCCGAGAAGACTTCGTGTAGATCTTTCCTACCAGAAGATAAGGGGTATGGCTGAAAGACAGCAGTAAGAAGGAGCAAAGGAGTAGCAGTAGAAAGGTTGTAGAAAGAGTCAGGAGCCCAAAGAGGGGGTAAAAGAGATGAGGAGGTGGGGGCAGAAAGAGGAGACAAAAGCAGGCGACAGAACATTGCTAAAGATAATTAGAGAGCTGGAAAGGAGGTGAAAGGAGACAATTTTAGAGAAGAAAATTCTTTGGTGTCTACCCAGATTCGAACCCGGGACCTTTGAATGAGAGGCCAACACCTTAACCTCTAGGCCACGAGAGCCCCCCCCCCCCCCCCCA